GTAGATGAACACTCGGTTCGGATTCTTCCAGCCTTTCACCACGTCCCGAAAAAAACAGTGCGAATCGCAATCGCGAACGCGCCTTGTTGTCAACTCTTGCCGGCTCATCCCGCTTCCACCACCCCCTTGCGACCCAATCACCTCCCCTTTCTCCATGTAAATTGAAGGCTTCACGAACCAATGTGCCGAACTGAACATGACAACATCGAACCTGCCGATCTCGCCGAACCACTTGGGGCTGGTTCGGTCGAGGTGCAGGCGAGGAATGGAGTCGGGGCAGTCAGGTACGGTGTCGTTGCCTTCCTCTACAAGCCATGCTGAGTTGACTCTAGCGAGTGTGACTTTAGAGGAGCGGAAGACGAGGCGAAGCATTGACTTGCGCCATGAAACTCTGGATTCTCCACCTGGCAGGCAGGCAGAACAAGTGAAAGAGAGGAAGATGGGGGGGATGAAGGTGAGAGAAACCCAAGGAGTTCCTAAGAACAAGTCCGTGGACTGGACGTTATTCATTACCGCCTCATGTCACCCCATACCCTGCATAACCCTCCTCGTCCACATCACCCACATTACCCCATACCGCACACAACCCTCCTGAACCTCCCAACTTTCATGACCAGGTGCACCCCAACACGGACCCAGCCCCTCCCCTCACCTGACTTCAACGGCACACGAGCAACCCCATATGGTTCTTTGCAATGCTCTCCCTCTACAATGGATAACCGTCATAACCCTCAGAACCGACTCGAACTCCCCCACATCCCACCCGCCCCTCCACTCACCTGACTTAGAAGGCACACAAGCGACTCAAAATGGTTCCGAGCCACGCTGTCCCCCACAAAGAGCACTCCTCTACCGCGCATAAACCCTCATGAACTCCTCTGCATCGAAGCGCGGCAGCGCACACGCCGCCCCCTCCGGCCGCCACTGCCAGCGCTCGTACTGGCTGTCCGGGCGCCGTTGCCCTGGCAGTTCTGGTGGCGAGTAATGTTGGGACACGTGGCGTTGGTGTAGAGTGGCGGGCTGGTGTCCGGGACCCACGAGCCACGGTAGAGGTCGCAGGCGAGAGGCACTGCGTTGGGGTAAAACGGAAGAGGGAAGATGGAAGGGGGAAGAGGCAGGTCGAAGGAGGGTGAAAAAAGAAGGGTGTTGCATGGTAAGGCGCTTTGAAGCGAAGTTGGGACAGGCGGTGTTGGTGTGGAGTAGATGGCTGGGGTCGGGGACCCATGCACCCCGATAGCAGGTGAGAGGGACTGCAATGGGAAAGGGGGGAGGGGAATGGGAAGTGTTGAGCATGTGTTGCTTGTGAACAGAGGAGGGCTGGGGTCGGGGACCCATGCGCCCGGTAGCGGGTGAGAGGGACTGCAATGGGAAAGGGGGGAGGGGGAAACGGGAAGGGGGAAGTGGCAAGGGGGAAGTGGGAAGGGGGAAGTGGCAAGGGGGAAGGGGGAAAGGGGAAGAGGGAATTGGGAAGGAGGAAGGGGGAAGGGGAACAGGGAAGAGGGCAGGTCAAAGAGGGGAGATCACGAAAGATGTGGAATGGTAAGGCAACTTGAAGCGAAGTTGGTGTGGGGAGGAAGGCCTGGTCAGAGACCCAGGATCTGAGGTACAGGTGGCATGAGAGAGGGACTGCATGGGGGGAGGGGAAGAGAGGACTACAAGAGGAGGCAAGGCAATGCATGGTAGCGCGCTTCGACGCAACATTGGGACGTGTTCGCACATGTGGAATCAGCTGTCTTTCTCACGGGTGACATATGAAGCTGATATGGTTGAGTGAGAAATTCTGAGACGCGTCAAAGAAACGGCAATGATATGGGCGAGTGAGCTCTTAACGCCGTACCATCCAGTTGAATCTTCTCCTTGCGCCCTCCTCCCTTCTTCCTCGCACCACCTGCTGTGGCCACCCCTCCAACAGCCCTCCCATTCCCCCGTTAGAATCACCCTTGGCGTCCCCACCACCGTCCCCATTGCGCGCCCCACCAATCTCACTCCCGTAAACGACACCCTTGGCGCCACCACTACTGTCACCACTGCTGCCACCACTGCTGCCCCCACCACTGTTGCTCTCATCCCTACCTCCGCTTCTCTTGTCCCTTGCATTGCTGCCCACCCGCACTCCTCCCGCGTCCGCCTCCTCCTGCACTCCCCTTTCGACCGCCTGCCTCTCTTATGTTCCCGTCACCTGGTCTCTCCTCCCCCCCACCCTCCCCACTCTCCTTCTCTCCTCCCTCTCCCCCCTCCTCGCCCCCGCTACTATCACTCAGGCCTTCATTCATCATCTCTTCACACCCAACCACAAGTCCTCTCCTTCTTGCCCTCCCTCCTCCTCTCCCCCTTTTTCTCCCTCCCCCTCTCCCCTCCCATCCATCTCCTTCCCTCCCCCGTCCTCTCGTCCCCCCTCTCCCCCCTCCTCTCCCCTCTCATCCTTCTCCTTATCTCCCCCCTTATCTCCCCCTTCCTCTCCCCCCTCCTCGCCCCCGCTACTATCACTCAAACCTTCATTCATCATCTCTTCACACCCAACCAACAAATCCTCTCCTTCTTGCCCTCCTTCCTCCGAACCTCCCTCCGAGCCTTCGGCCGAACCTCCCTCCAATTCCCCGCCTTTCACCCCACCTATGCTGCTCCTTTCCTCCTTCCCTCCCCCTTCTCCACCCCTCGCCCCTATTCCCTCTCCCCCACCACCCGAACCACTGTCTTCCCCGCCTCTCGCGGCGTCCCCAGCAGACTCTCTCCCCTTTCCTTGTCCCTCGCCTCTCTCCTTCACCCCTCCTCCCTCTACACTCCCAACTATCCCCTCGCCCTCCGCCTCTTCCCCTCCGTCAACGCCCTCCGCCTGTCCGTCAATGGCCTTCAAACTTGCCGTCGACTCTCGCGCCTCCCCCTCTCGCGATGTCTCTCGAGTCGCCTCGACAGCAACTTTCCGCGCTTCTCCCGCGCCCATCTCGCTGCCAACAGGCCCCCATCGCCTGTTCACGCCCGCAATCCCCGCCGCTTCCAGAGATTCGCTCTCGTTTCCCGCTCCCCTTGCAAAGACGCTCACGCTCCATTGGTCCGCTTGGGAACCCGTTTGAGCGTCTTCCCCCCAGCCCCCTGCGATCGGCGCACGCGCGCGGAAGGAGCCCCATAGGACGACGCACGCGAGCAGCGGCAGAAGCAGGAGTGCGATGCCCAGCTGCGACTGTGCGACGGCGTGCGACGCCCAGCTGGAGAATCGCCCGGTGAGCTCCTCTTTCTTCGCCATGCCCCTGGCGAAAACGCGGCACCCTAGCGGCGAAATGATAAGGAATTTCGCAGGCGGAGCCGGACCGCCACTGGTGGATGAACCGAACAAGCCGTTCGAAATCCTTAGACCGAACCGCGGACTCGGGGCAGGTAGCTAGTGAGTGAGTGCCAAAGGTATTCCGAGAACGCACTCGAACCTGTAGAATTTGCGATATGGTTGTCGAATCTGCAGAATATCAGGGAATCATTCCATGATGGAGCCGACGAGCTCGCCGCGAGCACGGTCAAGCGAAAGCAGCAGTTGAAGGTTTCCGAACCACGCGGGAAAACGCCACCAGATTCCTATCCCGCCGCGCGCGACGGCGTGTTCCGTACAGCCCGCTAGCGGCGAGCGTGCCAGCGGCGTCCCGCCCGCTTCCACGGTGCGCAAGATGCCAGCTTCGTAACCCCGCAAGGTCGCTGTGACGTCCAGGCTGGGCCGCGTCTGCTGCCTTGCCCGCGGACGGCCGCGACTCGCGGAATGCTTTCAAGGTTGAGAAGGGTCGAGGGGAACAGAGGAACCTTATGCGAAACGATAGAACCACCACAGAGGGTCCCAACTCCGATATATGGGGGTATGCAGGGCGTATGTATCCTGTACGTTATTTGCGGTGTAGTTTGTTTTGTCCGGTTCGGCAAAACAAAGCAACCGATTTCAACCGCTTAGAAACGCTCAGAGCCGCGAGACATGACACTTCCTCAAATTGCGCAGCCAACAGACCGAAAAGCATCTGTGGGGATCCCAGGACCGCACAGACCAAAAAGACTGACACAACTGTCCCACTTCTGACACAACCTTGGCGGGAAACGGATAAATGACCGAGACTTGGATCTCGGACGCGCCTTGGCGAACTTACCGAATACACAGCCTGTTCCACTAACGTACACTTGAAAAGCCATTTTTCCCTACTTCTGTTAAGTCTGAAGGTTTTCTTGAAAGGTCAACACGTGTTGTGATGTAAGGAATTTTCTCGGCATTCCTTACGGAGCCCGACTACATCGCGTACAGCAACAGCTGTTGTTCGCACCGTTACTACTAACGGGACTTCGCCAACTTCGCGCGCACTGTTTTGCCAAACCTTGCACTGCTGGCCCGGCCGTATCGGCCTACGCTTCGGGACTAGCCCGAGCCTCGCTGCCAGCATAGCACTAGCTAGCTCGCACGCACCGCGTTACCGTTTGCATGTTTCGCTTATAAATTTTCGCTCATGCCTTCGCTCACATTTTTGTACTCATTTTGACACCTTAGTGCAATTCTCGCTACTTCGATTCATTGCACCCGTAACACTTGGTATCAGAGCCTCTTTCCTTTTCGGACCGCGCATCTCCGCACCCCATGAAAACAACTTTTGATTTTTCACTCGAAGGGGCTCACGTACCTTAGCACCTAGGAGCCGCTGTCCTCGCGTTCTCTCGTAAACGCGTGCAGCCACGACTGCGCCTAGACTAAGACGAGCCGACGCCCTTCGAAATGGCTGAACATATCGACGTCACGACCCTCACGCATGAGCACTTGAACGATCTGCTGCGACAAATCCGCGAGAGCGCCGAGGAAATCGCGACGCTTACGGCAGAACGCTCGTCCCTGCAAAACAAACCTCACACGGGCACAATCCCAAGCACCTGGCACTCCGATTCAGCCCGCACCACAGACATCACAGCACGGAAGTGTGGGGCAATCCGCGAACGCCGCAAGTGATGGCGTCGTCCGCCATGACGGAGACGACGACCACGGCACGACACACCACGACGCGACGAATGCGGCCAGGACTCAGCCTCGAGTCACGATTTCGGTGCCGGCCGGCGAATCAACTCTTCCGTCGCCGATGCCGCTAAAACCGCAGCGTCCGCCATGCTTTGACCCAAGTCAGCGGGGTGGTCCTACCGTTCAGGCGTGGCTCTTCACGTTGAACGTCTTCTTCGACGCGAACTACGTCTCGGAGGATACGGCGAAGATTCGCTACGCCGTGTCGTTGCTGCGAGGACCCGCCATGGACTGGTGGCGCGTCATCGTCACGAAGCCGGTGGACTACGCGACTCTACCGACACGGGAAGGACAAACCCGACCCTGGGCGCCGTCGTATTTCGTGGAGGTGCCCCAATATCGCACGTGGGACGCGTGGTGCGCAGGTCTGCGCGCTCGTTTCGAGCCAATCGCGGCTTCGATCGCGGCGCGACAGAAGCTCCGCACTTGGCGCCAACTCGGTTCCGTCCAAGATTACACGAGCGGATTTCTGGCGCTATGCGAGCAGGTGGGATATATGCACGAGAGCGAGCGCATCGACCGCTACATCGGCGGCCTGAAGCAGGACATCGCTCAGGAAATTCAGCTTCGCGGCGCCACCGATTTTCAAGAAATTCTCGCTATGGCGGAGAAACTTGATTTCTTCCGCCGACCGAGACCGGGGTCCTACGGAAGCAGCCATTGGGGACATTGGCCTCGTGGGACGAACGAGGGCGCCACGATACGTGCCGTCGCCACAAATGCCGCTGCCGCACCGTTCAAAGGGTGCTGCTTTGCGTGCAATTGGCTTGGACATCACAAGAGCGAATGCCCGGAAAACGCTAAGGGAAAGGGGGAAGCTGAGCAGCAGAAACAGACCAAGCAGCAAGGAAACGCTGGGAGTTAGTAGCAGACGGGCCCTCTACTGACAGGTCACGCCGCTCGCCCGGCCCCAACTGACCCTCACCGAGTGATTGTGCCGGTTCACGCAATCGACCACACTCGGCCGAATAAGGTGGGGACTTCGGTAGACAGCTTAGTGGGAAAATCGGGACGGACTTGGTTAAAATCTTTGTAGACGGGGGAGCCAGCCACAGCCTCATCAACACTGCTACAGCACAAAAACTGCGACTGCCACTGGAGAGATGGTTACCTGAGATCGACGCAAGACTTGTAGACGGCACGCTGCTGGCAATACGGGAATGCGTAGACCGGGTTTGGATTCGATCTGGGGGTAACTTCACGTTTAGCCAGGAAATGCTCGCAACGACCCTCGACGGAACCGATATTTTACTCGGGCGTGATTGGCTGCGACGACACAATCTGCGAATTGACTGGACGACGGGTGACTGCACCGTGTGAGTGAACGGTAACAACATTGCCTGACCTCACTGGGGCTCGCTTGAGTCTTCGTCGGTATGCGTCAACGCGACCACGATGAAACGCGCCGTAGCGGCAGGAGCTTGTCAGAACACATAGCTTACTTGTTTTGTGTAGGCTATAGTGGGGTATCCCATAGGGGGTACAACACAATTAGGGTTTTCCTATTTGTACTCACTTCGTTCATACTCATTTCATCCTCGTTCAATTCTTCTCATGGAATCAGAGCAGGTCCCCTCCTAGGGACTGTTCCTAGGGCCCACCGAAGCGCGCCCCGAGGCGCGCGTTCTTTTTTTTAGCGACCCTGCGTGTCGCCCCCTACCGTCGCGCTCCCGCCGCTCCCTCCTCTTACGGCCGCCCGCCCTAGTGCCCTGACGGCCGCCCGCCCTAGCGCCCTGACGGCCGCCCGCCCTAGCGCCCTGACGGCCGCCCGCCCTAGCGCCCGAGCGCCAACCGCCCTAGCGCCCTGACGGCCAACCGCCCTAGCGCCCTGACGGCCGCCCGCCCTAGCGCCCTGACGGCCGCCCGCCCCAGCGCCCGAGCGCCGCCCGCCCTAGCGCCCGAGCGCCGCCCGCCCTAGCGCCCGAGCGCCGCCCGCCCTAGCGCCCGAGCGCCGCCCGCCCTAGAGCCCTGACGGCCGCCCGCCCTAGCGCCCGAGCGCCGCTCGCCCTAGCGCCCTGACGGCCGCCCGCCCTAGCGCCCGTGCGCCCCTCGCCCAAGCGCCCTGACGGCCGGCCGCCCGCCCTAGCGCCCGAGCGCCGACCGCCCTTTCGCCCTTACGGCCGCCCGCCCGAATGCCTGAGCGCCGCCCGCCGTCGCCCCAACGCCCTAGCGCCCGACGCCCGCGAGCCGCCCGTCGCAGCCGCCCGTGAGCTCCCTGAGCCGCCCGCGCCGCCGTCCCTGAGCCGCCTGTGCAGCCGCCCGCGAGCCACCAGTGAGCCGCCCGTCGCGACACCAGCGCCGCACGAGCCGCCCGTACAGCCCAGCAGCCCGAGCCGCCCGAGCCGCCCGCGCCGCCCCAGCAACCCGAGCCGCCCGAGCCGCCCGAGCCGCCCGAGCCGCGCGAGCCGCCCGAGCCGCCCCAGCCGCCCGAGCCGCCCGAGCCGCCCGAGTCGCCCGAGCCGCCCGAGCCGCCCGCGCCGCCCCAGCAACCCGAGCCGCCCGAGCCGTGCCACTGTTCCTGAGCTGTGTTCCTCTGCTGCTGCACTACCCGACTCTCCCTGCCCGGTGAGACTTTCAGCTGCTGCCATGGCCACCCCCAATGTCCTTACTTTTGACGCTGAGGGGAGGGCCATTGACTTTGCCGTCTGGATTGAAGACCTGCAGCTGTACTTACTATGTGATGCGATAGATGAGGTCTCTCTCTTTGACTTTGTCTCCGGCGCTGTCCCTGCCCCACCTGCTGATGCTGACTCTGCCGTTCGCTCCAAGTGGGCGACCCGCGATGCTGCTGCACGTCTTGCTGTGCGTCGCCACCTCCCTTCCTCTGAACGTGCCCACTTTAGTCAGTGCAAGACCGCTCAGGCCTTGTACGACGCTGTAGTTGCACGCTACTCCTCCCCTTCCTCCGCTACCCTTAGCCGCCTCATGCTACCGTTTCTCTTCCCTGACCTCGCCTCCTTTCCCACTGTTGCTGACCTCGTTACCCACCTCCGTGCTAGTGACACCCGCTACCGCGCTGCCCTTCCTGCTGAGTTCCGTGCTGCAAACCCTCCTCCCATGTACATCACTCTCTACTTTCTCGTCACCCGTCTCCCTGAGTCCCTTCGTGCCGTTAGGGACCAGTTTCTCTCTGTCTGTCCCACCACTCTCACTGTCGATCTCCTTGAGGAGTCCCTGCTAGCGGCTGAGAAGAGTATAGTCGCTGTAGGGGCCTC